AAAGTTTAGTTTCTCATCTTTCTCTTTCCTGCCACCTTTAAAGCATCCTTTGTCTAATTCAAAAGGAAAAACCTCCCCAAAATAACAACAAAAGTATTGTAACTGATAGAAATTATGGTTTTACACTTTAAGTTTAAAAGGTTTGTCAGGTATAAGTGATGTAACTCCCTTAAATCTGCATCCATGCGAGTGATTCACACAGTAATTTACTAAAAAGGATACCACCCAACCAATAACACATTACAAAATCAAAGCTGGAAATAAAATCCTAATGACAAACTAATATTTAATGATGTGTTTAAGTGCTGGGACGACAGTTTATGCACTGTAATAAAGCTCCCATAAAAACACAGTTTAATGCAGAAATGTCCAAACATCAAGTGTTAATGGATTTGACAGACTTGTATATCACTAAGTAAGAAACAGTGCAATACTTGTCTGCAGTAAATGACTTAATACAACTGGCCATGCAGGAGAGGAGCATCATAGGGAAAAACAGAAACTGGATGGAAAACAAGCAGCCATGGCCCATGAATGTGCTTTCTAGCAGAGGTTTTAGCAGACTGGCGTCTATGTGTGAGACATGACTTCCTTCTTTTTAACAGTGAGCACTTCAACCACTGGCTTCATGTCAACCTCCCGTTGTAATGGACAGCCACAAAGCTGACAGGCTGTAAATCAGAGCGACTATAGAAGCCATTAGTCCGGGGATACACAATAAAAAGCGGTAATGGTCTCATAAAGCCTGCAACACCACAGCAGACATTCTGATTCTGTCTATTAAGGGCTGCACGGAGCCTCGGATGAGTGAAAATAAGGAAGCCATTTTTCTTTGTGGATTGTTGCCTGGGGTCCCGTGTTCGTGATCAATGTACAGTAAGATGCACTGCGTTGAGAGCTATTTATTTACACTGTACTCCAACTGAGTGAATATTAGAGGAGGATATTGTGATTAAGAAGTGCTTTTATTGAGCTACATGTTACAGACAGCTCATTGATTTACTGTGAACTGGTTATATACGCCAGATGTGCTCAGCGTGCAGGTTATATAGTATCATGAACAACAGCTTACATTAGTTGTTATGGTGAGAACAATCTAGTCCAAGAACCAAGAATCATTTATTGTTATTCCATACCTTAGTCTTTGTTGCTAAACAAGAAAAACATGATTAAAAAGTAGTGCATTTTGGAATTTGCATCATAATAAATCTTTATTGAATCATATATATGAAAAAGGAACAGTTTAGGACAGACAGAGATAGACAGATACTGTAGATGTCTGCCTCAACCCCAGCACAATGGATACAAATCAAATGTAAGATGCAGCATCCACAGCAAAGAAATAAATAAAAGAGTAAAAGCCTACAGCCATGCAGTCAGCTCTAGTGCTATGCCACAGTAAATGATGACCATTAGCACTTCTATGTAGGAAATTGTGTTTTTTTGTTGGACAAAGCAACTACCAAATGTTGTTTACTTGACCAAATGCTATGAAAAGGAATCTGGTTTCCAGTAAAAATGTGACATAGCATGTTGAGAAACACTGCTGCACATTTGGGGCTACAGATCTTTAAATGTGCTGCGTATGATGACTGGGAGCTAATGGTAGCTTTATCTGTTAGACACAATACATCTAATTTACCAAAGAAAATCGTCTTTGAAACCAATGCCAACTTGTTTCAGCTATTCAAAATCCGACAAGTGTCTACAAAATTTCAGCACAGATTTCACCAAATTTCTCTCCTTCAAAGACGAAGAAAACAAAGTCTGCTGCGTGACAGTTCAACAGGCTGTTCTTAACTTACAGCTAGATTGAACTCGCCTGAAGACAATGACAAACTCCTCTCTGTCTGATGTCACTTCCCATTTCCAGGCCCACTGCTATCTGCTATCGGCTTCTGCCAATAATAGCTCATCAAAACAACACAACCCTTCTTGGCACCAAAATAAAGGCAGCGGTCCACGTCTATGCCACTCAGTTGTCAATTAAGACTCCTCTTCACACTGACACTTGTGACTTAAAAGAAACAGTCGAGAAAGTGATGAATTTGAGACGACAGATGAGAAGGCAGTACGCTGGGTTGCAGTACCATAATGCGCTTGAGATATGGATAGCAACTGACACCACTGGCAGGTCTTATGAAGTTTGATTTCATTTGTCAGGCCTCTTCTACTTTGTCTTTTAGCTCGCTTGCTCCTTCACTCTTCAATCATCACGGTAATAGCTCATTCTGATAGCCCGAAGACACTCAAACTAGCTCCCATTTAAAATGCAAAGCCACAGATATAGTAGGTGTGGCTGTGGGCTACAAATCCAGATGCCATCAGGTCTTGTATCTAATGCTATATCGTAGATGTAAACTTTGTATAACTGCATGTGTAGGTATTAAATAAACCCCGTTCTATCCTGGATTCTCCAAAATTCACACAATTTAACAACATGGAAACGCATGAATACATATCACATAAACCACAAACGACAGAGAAATAACCATCATCCTCGGTATTTGATCACTAAGTAGACAAATGGAGCAGTAAGTGTCCAAGCCTGTCTCGGCGAATACCTTGCATGCTTGTCTCCAGCCGACCACATGACGCTAATTCCTGACTGAAGCGCTCCTCCTGCGAATCCCTAATCCTGCCTGTGAAATGTGACAAGATCATTCTTTAGGCCTACTTTAGTCTGAATAATCTGCCCATCACAGACATTCATCCCGACCTGCACAGTGCTCCCAGTGTCATAACACGCTACCTGTACATTTTCACCCGGTTTAGGCTCCATAAATTAAATCTAGAAGAGTAAATGTGAGGCATCAGCATCTAGTGCCAGTGTCGTGGTGGAAAATGTTGATTTTACACTCACTGTTTCACGAACAAACGGGTGGGTTTTTTTTCGACTCATTGAAGATTCAGTAATAAACAGTAGAAACAGGGTTGCTACAATTAGTTTAAGAAATACAAATGATATTTAATCAAGCAAAGAATGACAAACATTCTCTGTTTATAGCTGCTTAAATGTGAAAATGCATTGTTTTTCAGTGTTTTTATTTGGCAATGCTGGGTTTGGCAATGATGGTCAGACTTAAAAAGCTATTTCAAAACATCAAATTGAGTTCTAGGAAATCATGTTGGGTATTGTTCATCATATTCTGACAAAGGATTGGTTGATTAATCAAAAAAAGACTAAACAGATGTATCAATAATTAAACAAATCTTGATATAAAGCCCTAAAGCTGAAAAAAGTAGCTAAACCAAGTTACATGTCATACTTAGAAAGTCATCATAAGTCAACAGGATTGCACTCCCTTTCTTCCTAAAGCCACTAGACAAGTAGATTGAGTACAGTAGGTGTTACAGGAGCTTCTTGAAGTTTCCACAAAGTTCATAACCAGTAATACGGCAGCTGTCAGGTTGAATTGAGCCGTTGGTTCCAGTGCTAACAGCGAGGGTAGGTGAAGTTAACTCTTCTCTACAGCATGACTACAACCCGCCAGGATCTTCACCTACCTGATGGCAAGTGGACGACAGCATATAATCTCCATAGGCTTTACATCCTACTCCTGACCAGCTTTAACTAATTGAGGAGACAAGGTGAAAAAGACCCTTCACCGCTGCGATCTTGGCTGCACCTCAACTTTTCCAACTCTCTCCGTCATGCTGTGCTATCGCCGTCTGACTTCCGGCGAGATACTGTAAGTTCTTCTTGTCAGCTCCGAGTTGAGCTCTTGCAAATGAAGTCAACGCCACAGTATTTTACACAGATGGGGGGGAGGAAAATAGCTTGGGTCTAGTGAAGGGGAATGGGTATGACTTCTACTGTAAGTATCTGAAATGTCCTGTCTTTAACACATAATATCTGTAATACTTCCTGACACATGCTGCTATAACCTCTTATTCTGTGCCAGCTTCTGTGGGGCCCTTTTTCCCTCTCTGGGCACAGAAGAAAAGAAGTCTATTTTCTTGTCATATTTGGTTGAAAGGCGACTCTCAACTTTGAGTGTAATTTCCTGCACTTTAAAGACAGTCCACATGCAAGGTGCATTACCATGCTATCAAGGTGATGGGAGCAATTTCAAACTGTCAGTCAGTCATGGAAATATCAGAGAGACTTAATGTCTACTGCAACCTGTCAAAGGCTCCTGTGAAGTGGCAGAGAGCGTAATCTGAGTCTTATTCACTCAACACCATTTACTTGTCAGCATAGCTCTGTTTTACTCTGGATGGTAGTTCATAATGAATGGGGGCTATGATATATATATATATATATATATATATATATATATATATATATATATATATATATATATATATATATATATATATATATATAGGTATTTTAATGAACAGGTCAGTCTGTGGAAGGTTTTTGAAGTATATGTGTGGAAAAATATACATGTAAAGCTGTTGAACTTATAAAGAGAGCAGTATTAGAAATACCATAGTTTCAGCCCAAGTATGCGGCATCTAATATGATCACACAGTTCTCGCTTCACAGACAGCAGTTAGTTAAGGCTGTTAATTTCCAGATAGACGCACCACTCTGGGTGACACACTGGGGCTGTACTTAACTATTATTAATGTGACAGGCCTCAGTGCAAAGCAAATCAATTAAACAGGAGCAATCACCATAGTCTGGATAACGGCCTTTTAAGACTGTTTTCATGTGACAAGGAGGTCCTCCATCCAGGCCTCTGCGCCAGGACCTGACAGGTCAAGAAAGCGGCATGAAACAATAGCACCTTCTAACCATCATCTCCCCTTTTTACCTGTCAGATCCACTCGGCTTGTCTGGCTGCTGACGCCACGCGTCCTGCACCGGCTGCCATGGGGTGAATTTTCATGTCATGTCGGGGGAATTTCTTATTTCATTTGCTCAACATTATAATGCAGCATTTATCGACAATTTTTTTCAAAACTATATGTCAAGGGTTTTTGATGTTCATGTGCAAGACTCAAGCGAGCAGAATAATAAGACTGGAGCAGTGACTTACCTTCATGCTGTCCACTGCTGCATTGTACCTCCCAACTAGAAAAGAAAAGCAGATTTTTTTTTATCAGTTTAACTCCTTCATCATGAGGTCAGTTATCATTTCATATAAGAAATTGAAACTGAAATAAGAGTTAAACATTTTGATTAAAAAAAGACTGAGTTACAGTGTTGAATGCATTTGTATAATCAATCCTGTAGTAACGGTCCTACTTCCAGAGCTAAATTATACACATTATACAATTATACATTATACAACACAGTTGTAAACGGCTCCTGTCACTGTGACTCTAATTGCCATTATCTCAATGTTTAATCAACTCTTATGATTAATTGTGAAGTTGCTCCTGCACGAAGTGTTGTTTCTGCACAGACCAGCACTATTTCATATAGAATCAAGACTGAAAGTGCTGGAGGTAAGTAAAGGATACCAATTCAGATTTTACATTAATCTCAAATATTCAAGGAAAACACTTCCAAAATCCAAAACCATAGATTTGCCAATGAACCATAGTATAACAAAAGTAAACATAAAATAAAAAATGTAAAGTTTCGAAGTTTTATTAAAGATCATAACTGTTACTTTTTTTGACATGTTATGAATAGAAAATGTAATTTTTCTAAGGACCGAAAAGGTTATATTTTGTATATTAACTGGCCAAAGATTGCTTTTGGGAAGAAAACTTTGCATGGTGCAAAAGTGATTCAAAAAAACTTTTTAATTTGCAAAAACTTTTCTCCTGGAATAATGCCCAAATATAAGCTGAGACATTCAAATAAAGAATAAAACATGAATTAATCATTTAATTAAATATGAATCCTAAATCTTGTGAATAAAAGCCCAAGATAGAGCTTGTTATCTGTATAATCAACCACCTGAGGTACACGTCCCTGCTTGTAAACGGTTGTGTTTGCACAGACTCTGGATGATTCATAAACGTGCCCTAGTGAAATACTAGCAGGAACATTTCAAGCTTTCTTTTTAAAAGTAATGAATTACGGCAACGAAAAATGTGCAGCCATTTAAGGATAAAGCCTAGAATTTGGTGTCTGCCGTAGCAAGCCATCCATCACGTCCACAATAAAGGAGTTTTTGCCTGACGGTCGAAATTTATGGTCGCCCTTCTCTGCCCTAATAACTCAAAGCGCTGTGTCAGAGCCTGACAGCCGTTGCCGAAAACAGCACCCCTGTTATCAATCAAAAAACACTTGCATATGTTTAACTTTCGCCTGATCAGCAAGACATTTATAGGCTATTGAGTAATAAGATAAGTGGGTCTATTTCGATGGGAAGAAATGTGGAAGCTTTAAATGATTAATGGCAGACACTAGAGGGTTTTTTTAAGCTCTCTTGGAATAAAAAGAAACAATTTTTGGCTTGAATGTGGCGGAAATGTGGAGGAATATTTTTAATTCCCATGACAGAATAAGACCTGAATAATGACATGCTATCAAATTAATGTATGTAGCAGAATTTGGGTTATGTAAAATTGCCTCAGAGCTTATCTCCAATTAAACAAATTGCAGTTTTGAGTTTTACCAGACCAGGCAGGCTATCAGGGCTAAATGATGATGGAGGAGAGAGGGAAAGACACTTCTTCACTCCCCTTCTCATGGATTCACTTTACAGTAGTTGACCTGAATATGACTGAGAAGAGGCACACACAAAAAAAACTGCAGACAGCTGACAGATAACTGCCATGCAGGACAGGGAACTGACAGATGACAGGCTGTGTGATTGAGAGGAGAAAGTTGAAGAAAATGTGAAACATGCCGATGGAAATCGCTGCATGTTGGAGTAAATATCTGACCAGAAAGGCCTTAGGTTGTTCATTTTCCATCTTTAAGGGTTAAAAGTAGTTCATCACAAAATGATACAAAGAGTGTCTGCTCCTTGCAAGACATGTGCAAAAGGGGCCATCAAATGCACAAGCTCTAAATGGCGCTCTTGACATTTGAAAAAATTATTGTAAATGTATAGCCTACAATTTTGTAAGGGTGACAATATTTAGCAATTATTATTATTTGTAATTATATTAATTATTATTAATACGCATCTTATCTTCATTTAAAGAGGTTTTGGTAATTTGTGTCCTGGTCCACCTTCACTAAAAACACACAAGATGCATGGGCTGCGCATGCGTCGAATCGCCAATTACGCAAAGACGCTTATAAAAACTCAAAATTAAAAGTGCTCGGAGTGGGTGAAATGTGAAACACACACCCGTGTGAGTAGGAAACGTCACATTCAGTCGAGCCTCTGATCACCTAGGGATCTCTTTTTGATTGGGAGGCGGCAACGGCTGTGATCTGCGGAGTAATTCAGACGCTGCCTGGAAGGAGGCGGAGTGATCTCTCCTGCCCACTCACTGCCAACGTAAACCGAGTACGCTCTCGGACCCCCAGCCACACTGTCAGAGCGACTCCGGGGATGAAGCAACGCGGCTGTGATACGCACGGATTCTGTTCTCAAACTCCGCGTCTCTTTTTTTGAGGATTTAACATTGATTTGTTTTATCTCTGGCGAAGCGTTTAACCGTTTGAAGCTTTTGAGTGTTGGCTTTATTTACCCTACACATGTATTTCTCAACCACTTTTAAGAGAATTGGGTCATGATCACATCGCCCACGGTCTCTTTCCTGAGAAATAGCACGAATCCAGCGTGGGAGAGCTGCTCCTTGGGGGAGAAGGGCGCAGTGAAGATCAGACAGCTATTCGTCCACAACTCCGTGTCTCCTGCAGACCCTTATCGCCAAGCAAGTCGTCTTCCCATAAAGGTTTTGAACATGCTTACCGCTCGGTCAGGACACATTTTGCACCCGGAGTACCTTCAGCCTTTGCCGTCTACTCCACTCGGTCCAATCGAGGTAAGCACGGACATGTTAATATTTGTTTGTAAAAACACCATCACCAATTTGCTAAATAGAATCCATAAAGTGTTACACGGTGGAATCACTTCCAAAGCTTTCAATCTGCTATTTTAGGATGTCTGTTTCGGGACATATTTGGTAGGAAATATAAAAAATAAATAGCCCTCTACTAATAGGATTTTTAGACCCAATATCAGAGTTGATTTATGATATTTTCGGTTATTTGTCTGCATTTAAAAAGGCTGTTAGGCTGTTAAATGGTCAAGTTTGGACTCGCTTTAAAATGTAATGACCTTGTTGTAGCTGATTAATGCAAGTGTTTGTAATGTCATTTTGACGTGTGGCAGTTGTTCAGTCTTATCTCATATCTCATGTAAAACAGCCTTCTGTGTACGTTCCCTCTTTACATGCCAATCACGCTGAGTTGTTTTGAGTTTCATCCCGAGATAAGTTCCTGCGCAATGCGTAAACTACGCGGAACGATCATATGTGCGTATTTATAACAAAACATAACATGTGCAAGTGTTTAATGCATTTCATTAACAGTTGTTTGTCCTATTTTACAGCTGGATGCCAAGAAAAGTCCACTGGCTCTTTTGGCCCAGACGTGCTCTCAGATCGGCAAACCGGATCCTCCGTCCTCCTCCAAACAGTCCTCTGGCTCAAATGGATCTAGTGATAAGGAGACGAAATCCGGTCCGCTAAAAATGAGCGACATCGGAGCCGACGACAAATCTAGTTTCAAACCTTACTCCAAATCGTCAGAGAAGAAGGACTCGAGCAGTAACCTAAGTGGAGATAAAACTAGTTTCCGAGTGCCTAGCGCCACCTGCCAGCCGTTCAGCCCCAGGACAGGCAGCCCCAGCTCCTGCACCTCTGTCTCGCCTCTGCCGGCTGAAGGCAAAGCGGGGGACAAGGAGGACAAGAAGGACTCTGAAAGCAATAAAAGCAGTACGACGGAGAGTAATATCAGCCATAGGATAAGTGGAATTACCTCTGACCAACACCAGGAGAACACATCTGGATCAAAGACTGTTACATCGGACTCGCCATCTTTAACCTCGTCCTCCTCCCTCCTCGGCTCTGGACTGGTGGCCCCCGTTTCCCCATATAAGCCCGGTCATTCAGTTTTCCCCATGCCACCTGCTGGTCTTTCCTACCCTGGAAGTTTAGCGGGTGCATACGCAGGTTACCCGCAGCAGTTCCTCCATCACGGAATGACCCTTGACCCCTCCAAATCCAGCAGCCAGATGTTAAGTGCACAGTTTGCCAGCTCAATGGGCTGCAGTAAAGCAGGAACGAGTCCCTTATCTGGAGCATCCCCGCCGTCTCTTATGTCTGCTAGTCTGTGTCGAGACCCCTACTGCCTGAGCTACCACTGCTCCAGCCATTTGTCCGGGGCATCCAGCGCAAACTGCGCACATGACTCTGCAGCGGCTGCTGCTGCCTCCGCGCTCAAATCTGGATACCCGCTCATGTACCAAACGCACCCGTTACACGGCGTGCACCCCTCGGCCCAGTCTTTCGGCGGACATCCCTTGTATCCTTACGGCTTTATGCTTCCCAACGACCCCCTGCCGCACGTGTGTAACTGGGTGTCTGCTAACGGACCTTGCGATAAGCGCTTTTCCTCCTCCGAGGAGCTTCTCGGCCACTTGCGGACTCACACGGCATTTGCCGGTACGGAGAAGTTGATATCCGGGTACCCGGGTTCCTCTTCTCTCGCCAATGCCGCTGCCGCCGCTGCTATGGCATGTCACATGCATATGCCTCATAATGGCAGTCCTGGCAGCCCCGGCGCTCTGGCCCTCAGGGGGCCCCATCACCACCTCGGACTGAGCAGCCGCTATCACCCCTATTCAAAGAGCCCCCTGCCCACCGGGGCCCCGGTGCCGATGCCCGCGGCCACAGGAGCATATTACTCCCCGTACGCCTTGTATGGACAAAGACTGACAACAGCCTCAGCCTTGGGATACCAGTAGAGACAAAGAATTATACATTTATAAAAGGAGATTTAGGCCCAATGAGTTTTATATTGTACTTCATGCAGGGACTGGATCCATGTGGGGATCAGTGTATTTATTTGCGATAGCTTCAAGCGTGACTAAAATAAAAATAATATAACTTTGAAGACTCTATGTGCATTATTTTACAGAGGAAAGAGTGGAT